TCAACTGTATGCCCCACTCCTTGCCACCAGCAAGACAAGCAGTATATTTGGCTGTTCTGTGGCAAATATTGCTTGTCAGAACTGCCTGTCAAAGAAATAGATGTCAGCCTGCTAATTAGAGTTCCCGTGTGTGGTGCAAGCCTCTTTCCACCCCTGAGTGCCATGCTCTTTCAATAGAAGTCTCCTTTCTTCACTTCATTATGTAGCCTTGCGAGCATGGCACAAACAAACTATGCTCCCTTCTGCAAATTAGTGTAATCAAATAGATTTATGTACTCAACAGAGTTGGGTGTACACCTTGTTGCATCCTGGGTGGTTTTGACAAAAAGTTCCAGGAATAATTTCAGTGTCTATGTGTATTTGGGGGAGGCTGTCGTGTCCCTGGAAAAGGGTTCTTCCCCCACATCCTCCCTGTGACAAAGCTGAGAACCAAAAGGAGGCTCTTAATGTCCTTGGTCTCATGCTGAGCCTCCTCCTATGTCATATAATAGGAGTTCTGTGATGGCTTCCCAGAGAAGCATCTGGTGCAGCTGCTCAGTGCTGGAGGGACAGAGATGCTGAGCTACAGTCTCAGTAACATTAACCTGGAACAGGATCCTGGTCACTCCAGTCCCCATGTGGCCCCTTTCTATCCCAGTGCTATTATTTTCTTGCATAAGAAGTGAGATAGCCAGATAAGCAGGGACAGGCTTTGGAGACTGCTAATTCTCTGTTTTGTGGTGTGCCTACGAAGATGTGCCATGCATATGCCAGGGCACATTGGACTTGTGAGGCACATTAGGAATACATAAGAAGATTGTTCTGGTCAGAAAGAATGAAGCCCGGTATGGTCCACACTTGCATTATCTATAGGGTGTGGATCCTGAAGGAAACTACCCTCTCTTTTGAGCCTCAGAAAACCGAGTAATTGGTTAACTCCAGACAAATTCTGGCAAAACCTAGTATGTACTCAGTGTAGATGATCAAGGAACCTGAAGCAAAGCAACAAACCAACGAAACAGACAACATAGAATACGGTCCAACAGTCTCCTTGCCAAAAATATCAGGCCAAATGTTATCTACACAGTAAACCACAATTTGAGTACAGCTTTGACTACAGACCAGGCAAAAAGCTCTGTTTCATGGGGTTGTCAGGATAGTTAGCAGGGCCTTGCAACAGAGCCACTGTCCTTTCAGTGGCAGCTAGGAGTCTGTGACAAGTGACAACTTACAGGAGAGAGCTTGTCATCAAGCAGAGCACGACTTTTCAGTAGGTTGAAAATACAATGGCGTGACAGGCCTTACTGAAGATTTGTGCTAAGTTCATTCTGTATCTAGCAAAGTGGTCAAGAACTGTGTGAAAGCCACTGACTGTGGAAGATAAGGTGATAGCAGTTACAGGCCACCACTGCCAGCACTTCATAGCTAGTCTAAACGATATTGAGAGATCAGTAGCCACAGCTCTTGTTCAAATTGCACAAGAGGTCCTCGTTCCATCTCGTATTACAAAGTCATTGACAATTTGCATGTTGGGTTCTCCAGAGGTGTGCTGAGATGACAGAGGCATCGCCTGATTTCTGGACCAGTTGGCTATCACCCCTTTACACCAATGCAAAGAGCTCTTCCTCTCAGCTGTGAACCATCTCTGCCTGTCCATAGTAGATGCTTGGGCAAGGGCTCAAGACGTAGCATTAAAGAACTCAGCTATGGATGTACATTTCTGGAGATGCATTTTCTTCAACCAAGGCATTCTCCAGTTGCTTTGAGGAAGGCCAGCATGATGACAATGTCTCCTAGGTACTTGGCAAACCTCCTGAGCCTTTGCTTCCAAGTTAAGGGTTACTTGGAACCTCTATCTAAAATACTTCAGTTTTCATGTCAACAACTAAGTATGCATTTAGCCAGTTGAAATCTACGTGAAGGTCATCTGCATTCAGGCTTCATATGGAAATATACTTCTTCCCTAGGATTCTTGAGTCCCAGGTAATGTTTGTGACAGTGCTGGCTAAAAGTTGGGAGCAGAAGGTAATGAAATATGTCTGGAAACTAAGCCAGCAGAATCTCATCAGGCTGCTGATGAAAATAAGGTGGGTCAGGTTATGAGGAAAGCCCTATCAAACCATTTTCTGCAGTGTGACTGATGGTTTCAAAGACAGTGTCAGACTTGCTGCTGCCTAAGAAATAATTGCTCTTCCTGGGCCTCCCACCAAACAGCTTTCTTCCCAACATCTTGGTACATAGTATTCAAAGTCATGAAAAGAATTGCTGGGTCCTACCATCAATAATCCTTTTGCTTCCTGTTTATTTGGCCTTATGGCCGTGCCCTCCCAAGGTGGTCATCAAGCCTCTATCTTAAGAATATAAAACAAAAATGAGATTTTATAAAAAAGAAAGTATTGAAAACATGTTTTTGAAGTAAAACAGAAAATATTGTGGGTTTGTGCAAGCATGTGGTAAATTTGAAACAGTGCAACAGCCACGTATTCAAACAGTGTATAGGCAAGCAGTGTAAGATGACGTAGCCACAGCAACCTCAGATGTAACATTCAGAAAGGGAAGGAGTTATCCTTAGTTGGTACCAGTTATCCACTTGCTTTGGGACACACTGGATAGCCTGTATTCCTCCAGTACAGTAAAATGGTTCCAATGTTTTCCTGATCGAAGAATGAGGAAACCTCCATAGAGGTCCAAATTTGAATGTAAATATGGGCTACTGTCTGTATCCATTCCCTCCCAAGTTTCAAAAGGACACAATCCACAGGGGCTAGACTATACACTGAAAATGAATCTTCTGGAGGAATGGGACAGAGCAGGGTACAGGGTACAGTTCAGTACTGAGAGGGATGTTTTGAGAAATATGGATGAAGGTCTGGTGTGGTTGAAGCTGTTCACTGCCTTGAACTCCTCAGGCTTGGTATCACTGCAGACAGATATCAGCACTTTGGTGCCAAAAGCCTAAATTCAAATTAATGACCTTAGCTTGTGGTCAAGATTAGAGGGATGCTAATTTGTAGACTCTTTTTGACTCTCCTGTGTTCCATATTCTCAGGCTCCTGGCTTGGTTTTGAGGCTGGAATGACTCCCTCATTATACTCAAATTTCATTTTGTCTTTCAGCCTACACTGATGAGAAGCCTACAGTATATTGCATTCTATCTGCTTTGCTCTCTTACCAGATTATACCAGAGTCCCAGAGTCTCCATTTGTGTTTGATTGAGACTTGAAAATTGTTCTTCTCCAAATTCCTGCACCACCAAGCAAGAAATGGAATTTCAAGTTACATAGTTGGTGTCTGAAGAACTCCACTCTCCTAAAGACATTATTTATGTTATTTGAGAGGCCATGAGATCAGAATTCTTCTCATCTACAGTTGTTTCAACTTTTTCTCCCAGCTGACAGTAAATTGAGGAAGAAGTAGTAAATATGAAAGGATGATAAATGTTCTCTTACCTACTGCAGATTAAAACCAACTTTGGGGAGACAGAAAGGAGATCAGCCTTCCATGAGAACAGAGAAAAGCTAAGATCCCGCAAAATGCAGAAGACAAGCTCTTGCATTAACTGCACGTTAATTCAGGTCTCCTTTTTCCAAGGCATCAGCACTCCTTCATATGTGTGGGAAGCAACGTGGTTACCAGTTGCTGCACATAATGCTGCCCTGATTGATGGCTATTGTCTTTACTTTCCTGTACATGGACTTCAGGGCCTTTGCCTTAGCCCAGTACCGATATCTATGCCTCTACAATGCTGTGCGGTGCAACAATAAACATTATTATTCCATGAGTTTCTAGCGGCCGTCTCTTGAATTGCATTAGTGCCACAAAACCCAGCAAGCCAGGCAATTTCTTTCAAGGACCAGCTACGATCACAACTGGTTTGAGGTCAGGATGCCTCCTAGCCAGAAGCACCTGAGGGTACCATCAGGATGTCAAGGCTTGCAAGGCAATAAGAAGAAAAGGTAGCAAGGCAGCCTCTTGAGATCCTGTTCCTCAAATTTCTGTGGAGAACACAGAAAGAAGCAAGGCCCAAATGTGCTTATTAATGTGACTGTCAGCAGGTAACAACATTTGACCTCAGAAGACTGGTAAACACAGATGGGAAAGGAAAGGTGACCTCCAAATAAGCACAGAGGCAAGCATTCTGGATCCCACCATATTCCTTATAGAGTGCAGCACAGAAGAGCAGGTAGATGCATTCACATCTCTAGAGACAGCAGCAGGCCTGACTTGATTCCAAAAATAGTTTGAGTCAATGTTGATTTGCCAGAGCCTACTCACAGCAGCTGTGTGCTCTATGTTATATGGCAGAGAGTACTTTATGGAGATTTTTTAAATATGAGGGCCATTCTTTCAGTGCATGAATGAACAGTTTTAGTCGGTATTTTGCTTCCAGATACATTATACTATCATTATTCCAACCATAAGAATTTGGCAGTGAGGACAGAATCATAAGCTTTTTAAGTAAGTACTTTCTTTGTTCAGACTTGATTTTAGGGTTTTGGGTATTTTCATGTTTTCATTAAGATTTGTATAACTCCAAAACCACATTGCAGAATAAAGCCTTTATTTTTAAAAGAGTTGATATCTACGGTTTCTGTGAGCTTCTAGTCCCCCATCTCCAGTATATCAAAAGGAGAAAGTAAGGAGATGACAACTGATATTTTGTAAGGCTAAAAATATTGTGCCTTTTTATGTAACACTGTGAATTTAAAAAGCACATTAACTATTTGCAGATTATTTTTTTAAAATGCAGTTTGAGGACCACAACTAGTAGATTCAACTGACATTTTAGGAGAAGTAGCTGCTGTATGTTTCACCGTGTGGAAATGAAACGTTCACTAGAGAACGAAGTAAATGTTTTTAAAAAGGCAAAATAAAACTCAGACTGCATCAAAGATGTCGGCACCATAATATACACCTCACACTTATGCCATTGGTGACATTTGTTTTCCTAGTGCATACCACATACCCTTTTTGACCCTCCAAAGCCACCTCCTCAGACCTCCCCTCTTGGCATTACCTACCTGATAGCGAGGAACCTGCATACTCTCAGTGTGGCTGTCAGAGATTCACCAAGTTCACCTTCTCTTGCATTCCTGGAATTTCCTTTCTTTTTTCCTCCTTATTTGTTAGCATCTGCTGAGGCCTTCCTGTGAGGGACGGAGTGGGAAAGAGTCCCTTGTCTGTGAACTCACTCATCTTCCCATTTCATGTGCCACTGGAAAAGCCCCAGCCCATGGCAGAAGAAACTGCAATTTCAGAGCATGGCTCAGCCTACTTCCAGTCTCATTCCATGTCAGCAGGCATTTAGCTGAGTGAGACACAAGGTGAGGACATATGAGGAAGCAGAATAGATTTATGAAAGATACTTGCCAGAATGGTGTTGCTGAGTGGGTGAAATCTGTGACAGATGAAGTAGGCTAGACCTGCTAATTCTTTGATACTGAGCTGCAGTTCCAGAGAGTGACGGTTCTCCACGCTCAAATGGAAGGTGATGCATGATCACACGCAGTAGGTCAGTGTGCTACAGAGGCACTGGTGAAATGCTAACAGAACAAACTGCACCACTGCAGCTCCCCATGGTAAATTCCTTTTCTAGGTCTTATGTAAAGTCTAGAAATGGGAACTGTATGAAAGATGAGATCTCACTTAATATATATAGAACAGAACATGACACTTCTGCATGACTCTGGATAAAAATCAAATGCGGATGAAGATACTGAGAGAACATTACACTTGCCAAATATCTGCAAAACAGCAATGTTGTTCTGAAAAACCATGAGGCTACAAATCCGTAAGAAAAACTAGTAGAAGGCAAGTATCAAGATAAGGTGAGAAAAGAATGGTGAACACTGAGCACTGAACATTTATGTAAGTGTGTAACAATACACCAAACGTATGTATTATAAAAAAAGGTGATTAAATTTAATAGAACACCACCAAATAAGTGAAGTCACACAACAGGGATCTTGCAGCAAAGCAGGTATGGGAGTACTGTTAGATTACAGGTAGCCCACTGCTTGCCTGCTCTTTATGTATTGGAATGACATACCTCTCCACTGTAGAAATTCTGCAAAATTTATTTCAGAAATACATTTTAAAAAAAATTTAACTTGCATTGAAATGAGTGTGTTTTTAAGGTATCTGGCTAACATCAAAGTATTTCATTCCTCTGAGTAAGACTGTCCTTAATTTGGGACACTCGTCAATGATCAATTTCCAATAGATGATACTAGGACATCCAACACGTGTGTCTCTACTTTGGCAGCATAGGCTAATTTGAAAACTCACCACGCAGGGGAAGAGGAAAAATAATGTTTTGGTGCTCACCATTACATCTCTTCAGCAATATGGGACAAAATACCCAGGAGGATTTTTTCATAAATACACTATTGATGCGGTGGATTGATTAGTTCTGTCTCGGCACTGAACTAATATGCTCTCATAGTGGTTTTTATGACCTCTGGGTGTAGGCAGAACGAGATCACATGTGCTCAGATGTGCGTGTAGGTAAGCATGAGCTTATATCACAACATATAATGCAAATATATCCAACATCTATACCTCTGCCTATTGTACTTTCTAATCTTCAGTTGATTCACACAGCCTCAAGTATTTTCCCAGTTTGAAAGGACCCAGCCTTCCACTTATAAGTTACACCACTTTCAAGATCCAAACTACACTGGCACTATTTTTTTTTTCATTCTTCGAACCTCATAAAAAGCCTTTCTGTTTGTCTCCTGCACTGAAGGAGCTTTGAACAAGAAAGAACAACTGTGTGAGTCATTTTGCTATGTGATTTCCTTTTCAGGCCACATGAAAATCCTATCAGTAGCTAATACAGCTTGATGCAGAATTAAATCTTGTGGCATCTACTCTGTTACTTCTATGAAGCAATAGCAGAGGTCTCTGCCAGAAGCAGTATTTACTGGGGAATCCACACTGCCAGTGGCAGGAGGCCAGAAGAGAAGCATATTGGAACAACAGTCCCCAGAGGACGATTCCTGCCTCTATAGATCTGATACAGATACTATTTTTGTAAACATCTCCTACTCATGAACTTCATACTACTCAGTATATTTTCCACAGCTGAAGACACATCTTGCAAGAAGCATTTAGGAAGTTTCTCCATGTCTTTCTGTGATAGTAGTTGGTCAGGCCACAGGATTTTAAACAAGGCTTTTAAAAAGGATCAGAGAAGAAGTTGGTGAACAATCATTTGCCAGAGCCTTTTCATGGGAGGATAGACGTAGTTGCCAATGAGACCTCTGGGGACAGGAACTAATGTTAGGATGAATGACAGACAGAAGGAAGACATTTAAAATTATTTGGGGGTTGGCAATGTTTACTTGAAACTGGAACATTATGTCATAAGATTTATATTGGTAATTTTTCTCATTTTAACTGGCAGCTGAGGGAGGTGACAGGGGCACATTAACTACTGTGATATAATCTGCATCCCTGATAATTGATGAAAAAAATAAATTTACCCAGCAGGTACAGCAGTGATAATAGCTCTATATTTTATAAGCAGTGTTTCTTCGGAAGAAGCTGTTCCAGTATTTATAAGATCTTTATATTTATAGAGAGCTGTAAGGAACATCTGGAAAGAGTAAGTTTAATAGATCCATCAGTGGCTTATAGAAAAGATAAACAATGCTGAATGTGCACCTCTTAAAAAGCAAACAAACAGCTAACAATTTACAGCACAAGTGTGTCTTCAAGGTTACAATGGAGGTGCCTCAGTGTGGATTTGGAACAAGCTGCTACAAATCAGTGCTTGTTCTGAAACTGTTCTGCTTTGTGCTGTTACCAGCCCCTTTACCAGGCACGAGGTCTCTCTGTCTTTAGATTTGTTTGAAGTATGTTTTCCTGCTCAGACCCAGAGTGACCACTCTGCCTGTGTGCGGGGTGGGGGGGGGAAGAAACTGCTGGAGGCACAGATCCTTGTCTGTTCCCAACTCACCTTGGCACTCAACCTCAAAACCACGTACTACTCACCTAGGAGCACATGCTTAATGACTCGATTACGGTATCTTATTCAGTTTCTCTGTTGCTTTCATGGCAAAGGTGCAGGAGTGGGGGAAGGCAAAGGTCAAGGAAGCTTTTTGTTGCCCTTACACCAGCAGTATCTTTGACCTATTTGGGGCAGACCCGAAGCTCTGCTCTGCAAACAGAAGTTTGTAACAGCAGCAACCTACAGTCCATGACAGCTCAAAGGCAGCCATGCTCTTCCTTCTCTCCTGGCCAGCATGCCTCTCACAACAGGGTTGATGGAGGGGGAGGTCTACAGCTCTACAATAAACAGAGGGGCACATAATTTCACCCATTGTACAGAAAATTTAGGAGGTTGCAAGTGGCTGTTTCTTACCGCTTCTTTCAAGATACGCAGCTATGTAAGAATCTACCCATGTTTCTCTCTCTAGTTACTTAAACGTCTACATCTCCTAACCCTGTATGAAAACTTACAAAGATCTTTCAGACCAGCATTTGAATCAGCACTTACAAAATGTATTTTGTATACAATTTCCTACATGAAATTATAGCCTCATTGTTTAAGAAAATATTCAGAGCCTGTCACTGTGTTTCAAAGAAAAACGATTTATGTTTTGTCATTTACCTCCTGTTCCTTGCAGCAGCAGTGGAAATACTGTTGCTCAGGTAGAGCAAGGACAGAAACTGTGGGGGACTGCTAGATTTAGGCTCTGAGTCCCTTGTTCAAAGATTCAATCCTGTCATTTCCCTCCTACATGATTATTCTCATGAAATCATATATTTCTTCAGAATTTAAATAGCTAGTTTTCTTATGTTACTGTATGATAAATGTATTTTAATGGAGTTTAGGAAGCAAAAGGTAGGTATCGGCTTATTAAAAACTAGAAACTCTTCACTGATGTTGAGCTTCCTATTGGAACCTACTGTATGGAAGAGCCAAACACCTGTGTCAAAACTGATAGCTTAGTCTAACGAAGTCTTCCCACCTTCTGATGAGAATTACATTTACTTCAAATATGGAGGTTTATGTACACAAGGTCCATAATGAGTAAATGTATGAGTAAGAACCAAAAAATGATGAAAAGTCTATCCTTTGATTAAACTGACTATGCTACAAATGGCAGACAAAGCATGGCTGTAGGTGCCAAGACAGGCAGTGCTTCCAGCAGCTGAGTGACATTGACTCCAAACAAACAAACAAACAAAAAAAACAACAAACCAACCAAACAAAAAAACCCAGAGAGAGCTGGTGGCATCACGACATGGGAGACAGCCATGGGACAGGTCAGTAGTTCTATGGAGTGAATTAACGGACACTTGGGTATAATCCTCCTCCTTTACAGTTCTCTTTCTCTGCTGTACATGCCTGACACTTGCCTTGAAGCAGTGTGAGTGCTTGCCAGCTCCCTATGTAGTATACCACCTCCCTAAAGCAGCAGAAGACAAACCCATCAAGAACTGGAAAGCTGCTTTTCAGGCTGGGTAAGTGCTAGCACTTGCTCACCTGTCTGTGGAATCACAGGCTGAGGCAGATGTCAGAGCAAACTGATGTAGGTATTTTAGCTTAATAAAAGGAGAGCCAAATGTGCACTAGCTAGGATCTGGGGTATGACTCTGAGCTCGAGACAAAGTGATAGACAAGCTAAAGCACCACACAGAATGAATAAATTAAGAAGAGTCAATGTGATTTACCTGAAATCTTCAGTGAAAAGCAAACCACGGCAGAGATCACTTTGGTGTAGAAAGGAGGTTCACAGAGGAACAGATTTAGATTGGGTGGGTGGGTGAGGGGGAGAAGGTAATTAAAATGAAACCAGAATCTCTCTGAACCGAAGAAATTGCCCACAGCTGTGTCAGTAATACATCTTCTCAGGCTAGGATGAGTTGCAAATGCTGTTTGGCGGGGTTTGAGGTGAAATTCCTGAGGACAGCTGTCCTGATCAGTCTGTCTACAGGAAACTGTGGACGACAACAGTTGGCTGGACAGCCACTAGCTTAAAAATTATTTATCTGAGACAGACCTTGTGTCCTAATATTTCCATTCCAATTTGCTTCTCTTTCCCCTTTCCTCACATCTAGCCCTGGAAGTCAATATAGATCTGCTGAAACACCTCTGGTTAACATAAAGTTCCACCAGATCTATGGTTTCCCAGCATTTTTACAACTTAGGTTTCAAGAGTACAGATACATCAGGAAAAATAGTGAGTCATTCAGAAAGACTAGATGAAAACTGATAGGTTTGGAAATATATGGGGGAGGTGGAAGGAGAAGTAGAATAAGGAAAGAATTCTAACAGTGGAAAAACTTCATCCTCAGCGGAAGGCTAATGTGCTGTGCTCAGTGATAAGCATTATAGCACCAGAGCAGACTCTCACTGGCCTCCGGCACCCAGACAGGAGAATATGATCTCTTACACTTCAGCTGTGTCACGTTCACCATACTTAGTAAAGCTTCAATACCACAAAGGGAAAAAAATATAATAGCTGCATATATGCAGACACTGTTATCTTTTTTTTCTGCCCATGCCCTTCCTACATACATTTTAGTTTGTAAACTGACTTTGTGTGAGTAGACTTCCTGCTTATTGTTTCAGACAGTCAGGCAAAATATGTACTATGCGAAGTCCTTTTTTTTTTTAATCTTTCTTTTTTTCCTTCCTTAGGCTGACTGTAAATTGTGAATGGGAAAACGAATTAACTTACAACGAATTAACTTACCTATTCCCTATTACTGCTGTTAATCTGGGCTGTTCAGCTGTCTTGAGTGACTTCTCAGCAATGCAGACAAAAACTGAATTTTCCAGGCCCAAGGATTAGAACAAAATGGCTCATTTGGGACCGGCAAAATTCAATTTGCTGTTAACTAGAGATTGGTGGAAGGAAGCTGGTGAGATCAGTGAGGCTTTTGGGATGAAGGAAGCACAAAGGGACGGGGAGAAATCATGAGCATTTCAGAGTAAAGGCGTAAGGAGCAGACCGGGGAAGCAGCCCAGAAGGATGCTGCCTGTTGTTGCCGCTATCAGGTGAGGAAGAATTCGGGCTGCGAAGGCTACACACCCAACGGCATCTCCATCTGTAGAGGTCCCTCACCACTGCGATGTTAGCGGGGAGGGCGTGGGAAAGGCCTCAACGATCTTCCACAGAGTTGAGCTCCCTCCTTTCGCTGTTTTGCAGGGTGATGGGGAGGGGGGGGGGGGGGGGGGGGCCAGGGCCGCACCTCTGCGATCCCCCGGGGCTCCGGAAGGGGCCGATCAGAGAGGGGACGCCCGTCCTCCCGCCCGGGCCCGCCGCCGGAGCCGCTCCCCAGGCCGCAGCCTCCCGCCCCTCGGCGGCTCCCGCAGTCCCCGCAGGGCTGCGCCGGGGCCGCTCCCCAGGGGCCGGCCCGCCCGCCCCAAGCTCCACCGGCACCGAGAGCGAAGGAGCGCGCCGGGCCCGCCCCGGGGGAGGCTGCCTGTAATTGAGTCGGGTCGGCAAGTGTAGTTACACCGAGCCCGCGCCGGCCCCCGCCCCACCGCGCCCAGCGCCGTCGCCGCCCCTCGCTTCTTCTTCCGGGGACGCTCCCGCTCCCCCTCCAGCCTCCCCCTGCCCCCATCTCCTCGTACAGCCCGGCCTGCGGCACCGCCCCGCTGCTCACCTGTACCGGCCCCCGCCCCGCTCCGCTCCCCGGCGGGCCAGAGGGGCCCCGCGCCGCCTCTCCCGCCCCCTCCCCGCGCCGCCCGCACCTGTCCTGCCGCTGGGCGGGCCCTCGCCTCCGCCTCGCCGCCAGCCCTACCCGGCCACCGCCCGCGGGCGGGCGGGCGGCGCGGCCCTGCCTCCCCGGGCCGCGGAGGCCGGCAGCCAATCGGAGCGCCGCTGCCGGGCCGGAGCTGTTTACCCAATCTCAGCCCGCCTCCCCGTCGAGGAGCCGCCGTGGTGGTGGTGGTGGTAGCGCGGGGGGGGGGGGGGGGGGGGCGGAGGGGGCCACGGCGGAGGCGGAGGCACGGCGGAGGCACGGCGGAGGCACGGCGGAGGCAGGGACGCGGCCGCGGCGAGGAAGCCGCAAGGGGAGCGGAACAAAGCGCGAAGGCACGGCGGGGGCAGATGACAGCCTGCGTCGCGGGCTCCCCTCCCTCCTGCGGCGCCCCGGCGGGGGCATCCCGCGCTCGTACCTGACCATGACCCCGCGCCGCTCCCGGCTGGGCCACCCCGGCGTTTCCCGCTGAAGGGACCTGCTCCTTTCCGACCTCCCTCCCTCCCTCCCTCCTCCGCCTCCTCGCTTCTGAGGCTGCCGCCTCTCCCCGGAGCTCTGCCGGAGGGATGGGGTGCATCGGATCCCGCACTGTGGGTAAGGCGTTGGCGGGGACGGCGCTGGAGGATTCTCGGGCAGCCGCGGCCCCCGCCCGGGTAATGGCAGGACGGCCCCCGGCACGGCGGGTCTCCGCTCGCAGGGCCTCTCCCGGCTGCCCGGGGCGCGTCCAGGGCCACTGGCTGCGGGCGACCGGTTCCCAACCTTCCCCCCGCCCCGGTCCCCCGTCCCACGGGCCGGGCGGCGCGGCGGGCGCGGGGCGCCGTGTCCGCCCCGGCCGCTGGCCTAGGTGCTGGCAGCCGGGACGGGGGGGGCGGGAAGCGGGGCTGCGGGGCATGCCCGGGGCTGGGGGGGACGTCTCTCCGTGTCACCCGTGGCGGAAGGTCGCGGAGCATGTGGGTGAGCGTGGTGGGTCCGGAGCAGGGGGTGGGTGCAGGGCGTGCCTCCCGAAGCGGGATGAGGCGGCCGGCGGCTGCCTCCTTCGCTCGGTAGTGGTTTATTGTTACCCGAAAGTACATAACGTTGCGTGATCTGCACGTCTTCTTCTCTCCCCCTTCCCTCTACGTAGACCTCAGTGGAGAACAGCAAACAAAACTGAATTCCCTTCCACAAAACCATTGCGAGGTGACACAGTGGGAGGAATCGCATCTTTCCACTGGGCCGTGCACATTTTACAGCAGAGGATCCCAAGCCCTTTGGCTATCTAACGTAGCTCTCCCCTCCTACACACATGTGGATACCAAGTGATCACTTGGTCCCTAAGTGCAGGTCTCTACAGGTAAAAACAGCATCCTGTGGCACACTTTTCTTCCCACAGGAAAATTTCTTTCTGTGCACAGACATCAGTTACATGGGGATGTGTCATTCAAGCCACCGAAACAACCTCTGAGAGAAAAACACAGCTCGTTTGGTAGTACACGTCTCTCTTTGAAGCCTTTCTGCTGTGACATCTGTGGGAAAAGAGAACCTCTGAGGGCAAGGGAGTTGAACCACCTCCCCAGAATAAATCTGAGGGACTGTGTCAAAGCCTGGTGCTGTGACACTTCTTGCCTCAATGAGAAAGTCCCTTGTGAGCACTTCCAGGGAACCATCTACTCCTGAAGCAGGGAAGTTTAAACTACAGACTCCAGTTTCTGCTTTGAGATTTAATTCCCACATCTAGCCTCTGTCTCTTACTGGTCTCAAATGTCCTCATGGCCTAAAGAAATCTCATGTGTCTTCTATAATGTCCACATGGCAAAGATCACTGCAATATTTCCCTTAAGATTCTCCACGTTCACTTGGATCTGTGTCTCTATAGCATATCAAAACATGCACTGCCTCCATCTCCTGCCTTTCCCATGTCCTCCACACATACACACTGCCAAGGACATTACTATCCTGTTAGCTGGCAAATTATCTATACCCCTTTTATCGATACATGTCTGAACTAGCAGTGTTAATTCTTGGTCCCTCTCCCCACGACACTGTTCAAATAAAGAACAAACACGTATCTAGTAATAGCCACTCTTCACTCTAAGATGTGGTTAATCTGTCGTACTTAACCATGCAGGTATTTGTTCCTACGCATGGCAGTATTTTTATGATCTGTGACCTGGAATCTGTGTTACAAAAAAGCCTTGTATAACTTGTATACTTGCAAGTATCATTCTCATATATATATAAATATATGAGAATATATATGTATTTATATATATATTTATAAATGTAATGCGATTGTGTGGGCATAAATGAAAATATAGCAGAGCATCTATGCATTAAAGTGATGGTGGGATAATGATAACTGAAAATTCACTTTGTCTGCTATTTTCACTCCTTAAACATAGACCTTAATGGTACAGATATTGGACTTTCCATAGTACAGTGACTTTTGGTTTATGCAATAAATGCTCATTCTAGATGGTGAGAGCACAATGGACATTAGGGACATATTTATACAGCTAACTGAGGAATTTTCCTTGACCTTGTCTTATGGAGGTGTGTGATAAGGTGTATTGCACAGCTGTGATTCTAATCTCTATGGGAGTCAGGTATGAATGTAGTAATAGTGCCTGATGCCTGCTTCATGTGAAACTTTGACGCTGTTTTGCCTCAGCAGGGACTTCATCTGTTTCGAGTCCTAGAGGTTGGACTGGGTAAAGGTGGGGATCCTTGAGTTTTACTTGGACTCCCCCACATAAGGAGGTTTGTTCAGAACAATTCTTACTTAGCAGCCTCGATTTTTCACTCCAGCCTTCCTGGAGTTATTGGGAGGATTCTTCAGACCTATTTTGGGAAGTCAGTGCTTTTAAGTGCTAGGTCTAAGCTCTAGGAAGTGGTTGGAAACTAACACCCTAGCATGAGTAGAGCTTTGTGTTCTTGCTGTATAGTGTAGCTGGTTAGATTTTTGCAGAAATTGTTCAATATACAGGCTCTGTATTGCTTTTCCAAGACTACATAGGTCCTAGAGATAGATCGTATTGGTTTTACCTTGAATTTGCATGTAGCAGATTTTGAACTCAGAATTTGGGAGGTTTTAATTAGTGATAGAAAGCCTGCAATCAGTCACATTTTGTTTATTCACCACACAAAGGCCAGTGCAGGATTGTGCCCTAAGCTTGCTCTGGGCCTTTTTCCATTCCAGTTTTAAGCAAGCCACATGATTTCTCCATATCCCGCAGGGACATTTTTCTATGATCTAGTTAGATGTCATAGTTTGCACATGTTTAGTGATGTGCAACTTTACATTTTCTTTCCTAAATACGAGTTTTCTGGTTAGTTTTCCCCAAGGAAAAGCAATTGAGAGGGTCATAACAGAGCAGCTCTGTATGCATAAAATTGAAATGGAGTCATATAACATCTTTCAGTTTTAGAGAGGACACCAGAAATCACAATGGCAATGATCAGATCAGGAGTTCCTTCCCGGGATACAAAAAAGCTGAAAAGTAATCTTAAAAGGCTAAACTGATATCAAATCATCCTCTCTACAAATGCACCCACTCGCACCTCAGTGTCATACATGTGCTATGTGTTACATGGTATGAAAGCAATTATGCAATGAGCACTGCAGCTGGCTTCTGCCTCTGATAATAGCTACAAGTCAGGTCTGTATATTGGCGATAATCACCCCGTCGTAGTTCCCAGAGATCTGTGGAGTGACTCTCATCATAGCTGGGACTCAATTCCAGGGAATGTAAAGGCAGTTTTCACTGAGGTTGCCAGACAGTTAAGGCTGCAAAATCCAGCTGGGAACTTGTAGATATTTGAGTGCCAACTAAATGCAAAGACCAACTTGATTACTGTCAGTAACTGAATTAGCCAAATTTAAGATTTCAGGCCTGCCTTTGTTAGCGGTCGCAATTGCGAATAGAACTTATCTACACCAAGCAGATAAGCAGGCACCTCTTTATTCCAGCGCTGGGGAACACGGGGGATAGCTCCACCAAAGACGTGTTCACTGACAGGTACAAAGCACAACATATTTACACACTTTTTCAGCAGAGTCATGGTTACGTAAGATCAACAAAATTCATAAATTTTAGTTTGACCTTAATAATGATTGGCTTTCAGTTACCTCACCTTACCTCTCTTCCAATTCTACAGAAATCATTGGTCATCTTTACTGATTGATTTGAATAGAATGGGGGGAGGGTAATGATTAGCATATTCATGATATTTTCTGGAAATAATTATCATATGCAAATGTCTCTAATGCATGCGTGGTTACGTTGGACGGGGGTCCTCTGGTGGTCGTCGATAGTCTTCCTCCCTGTGTCCGCTGGTTGAACTCCATCCCTGCGCACGCTCATTTCATCTTTGGCCAATGCTCATTTCTTCTTTGACCGATCTTTCCAACCAAAACCAGTTTCTTCTGGTACCTGTTGTTTCAAATCAAGATCCATAACCAGTACCCACTGGTTTGATTCAGAGTCCATAACAATTCTTATAGTGTTCAAGGCACACGGCATACTAGCTACCTAATCCTAAGGGCCTTAGTGTGCTTTACACTCTCAGAACTGCTATAACTCTATTTTAAAATCAAAATCATATTTTAAACTAATTTCAAAATAATATTCTAGGATTCAAGCTACTTTATTAAGGTAACTGCAACACCTATGTATCTGAATGCACTGCAAGTGTACCTTTGACCACTGCTTAGACATCTCCTAATATTGGCTGTTCTGACTAGTGTGACATGATCTCTCTTAATTCCTTGAATGGATTTAAATGAATAGAAAGCTCAAGCCTATTAAGCTCAATATTGCTCTATTTTTTTCCAATGATGTCTCAGATTTCTCTCACGTCTTTGCATAGAAGCCTGCAGCAAACATGTTTTGTGAAGTGATATACAATGGTGGAAAAATATTTCAAGAAATTAAAAACTAATAGTACTTTTGGTGCGTGGGGGAAGAGAAACTAGAGAGGCTCACACTGGAGAGCAGGAAAAATTTTCTGACTATCATGAGTGCCAAGCATTGGGAGAGGTTTCCCAGAGAGGTTGTGCAGTGTCCATTCTCTGAGGTTTTCAAGACCAGACTGGGTAAAGCCCTGAGTTACCCAGTCTAACCTCATAGCTGACTCTGCTTTGAGCAGGATTTTGGACCTCAAGAGGTGCCTTCCAACCTGAATTATTCTGTTATCTGTGATCTTTAGATCCTGCTTAGGATCTAAAGCCTTTCTGAGTCAGGTTAGATCAGGTCCTTTAGTCCCATTCTGCTAGAGGACCCCAGGTCTTCTACATGTTGTTAGTACTCTCCTATCCCTTCTCTCCATCACCACTTTCCTTTAACTACTGAGAGTACCATGTACCACAAAGTCCTTCACCATAACCCCAGCTGTCAGCTGAAGTCCTCCCCATGTTTTTTTGGTCTAGTTATTTTGCAAGAAACAACTCAAGTGATAGCTGCTTTAGGCCCATGCACAGAGCATCAGTCACTGGCCATGCAGAATGAAAAAGGCAGTGCTCTTCATTTATAAATCTCTGGGTCAAATCTGTCCTGCCAAAGCCCACCCACTTCTAATCCAGCCACTTTAGATTCATCAGAGTGGGAGCAGGATAG